GCTACTGTAGTTTTCTTTTCCCCAAAACTTTGTCTTCAAAATAAGGGTGCGTCTTATACACCGAAAAATACGGTATATGTTTTTAAAGTCTGTTCAGATATGAGCACAAATTAATAGTAAAATGTACAGGCAAGTGAAGCATGAGGGTGGATGTTGGGAGTCATACAGATGTAAAACAGAGTGATTTATTTCTACTATAAGGTCATTTTAGCAACTGCCTTTTATGTTAAAATATTAGGGGTGATTACCTTCCCACAACCAACTGCAGACAGAAGGAGTTGAGACATTGTAAGTCAAAGCACTCAACTCCTAATCCCTATCTGATCTTCTGTAACAGCTACATAGTTTGACATTTGCAGCTGGATCATGTATGACAGATGGAATATCCTCAATGCTTTTAGGTCTAATGATCACAGACATTCTCCTTTATAAGTTAGTGAATAATGACAAGGACTGGCAATTGACAAATATTTCTTTCTTTAGATCAGAATTTCATAATAGACAACTCAGTTTAGGTTTATATTTAGTAATATATACATATCATTTACAGACTTCTTTCAATTCTTTCCAGGAAACCATTTATATAAATTCCAATACTCCTTACCATCTAATAAAAGTCTTCTTGAAAACTTCTTGGGACACCATAAACATGGGTACACTGATGGTGTTTCTTTTTTCTTTGCATCATTTTCTTTCTATGTAAACAATCACATACATTAATAGTTTGTCCATGCAATTTTAAGTGGATTAATAGCTGTTTTGTTTTTATAGGCCTAAATCTAAAGAAACTGAAAATTCTTATCACGATGGTTTAAACTTTCAGAATCAAATTACCTTGTTTTTTTTTAATAAGGAAAATGGAATCTGTGCCAAAATATCTTTAAGTGAGTTTATGTATATTAGGAAGTCCTACCAAATTAATAATTTAGATTTTTAATACACGTCTATTATAAAGCAGATTACTATAAAGCAAACATTTGAGAGAATAAAGGAAGATGTTTAATGAGTAACATGTAATATTTACTCATTTAACCCTATGCTTATGAGTAGGTCATTTTGACTGATCTCGTAATCACCATGTAACCATGAAACTAAACATTACAGCCCTGAATGTGCTACATGTGTCTTCAAGAAATTTGGCAAGCTCTTAGTAAAAACTACAAGTATTTCATATACAAAAAATCAGATCTTTTAAACAATATATTTTTATTAAAAATATATTTGTAATTTTACAAATTCAGCCAAAGTGAAAAGTGAATTTGCTGCCAATAAAAATCCTTCATCTTACAGTTTTCATATTTCATCTGCATATCTTCTAGAACCTCCTAAATGAATATTTAAATTTTTTGGGGACTAAAACTTTATACTTTACCTCTTATTTTCTCTAAACTAACACTAACTGTAGCAAAATCATGACAGACAATTAGTAACTTATCCTAATAGCCTTAGTTCCAAAACTTTTCACATCTAGCTTTCTTTTTGTTTTATTACTTTACAGTATGACTTTAGATCATCTCACAAAACTTGAAACCCAATATATCACAGATGGACAGCTTAGTATATAAACACAGATTAAAAAACAAAGAAATTTAGCACTTATCCTAGCTATATGCCTATTTGTATTAGAAAACATACTTTGTCTCGACTACTTTTTCCACACTATGTCAATTGTCCACAACATAATTCATGTTGCTTTCAAATATGCATTTTAGAACAAAAGATAAATATCAAGTACTAGAACAAATTCTCCAAAATATACTATACTTAACTGGCTTTCTAACTAAGCTATAAATAGGTTATAAACTTTTGTTAGCTACTTGGAGCTGAACCACCACACCCTTGCACTAATGAATGCCAAGCAAAGTGTGTACTTACTGCAAGTAAGATGACGTAACCATATAACAAATTATGTACTGAAACATATCTTTTTATTGGTAATAAACATGTCCAATATCAATGTAAGAAAAAATTACAGACATGTCTTGAAAGATTAAGAGAAATGGGAAGTGTGCCATGTGAGTGTGATACATACAGTGATACCTCAGTATTAAAAACAAGATTGGACATTCAAACTTTACTATTCTATTACAAATTATAGCTTTTACTTTAAAGAAGAAGATTTATAAGACAGGTATGCCATTTGGATCAATGGTGCAGTCACTCTCAAGTACACAAGTTTTAACATTAAAGGATTTAATATCTAAATTAACAATTTGATTTAAACACTAAAACCTTCTTTACCATTAAAACTTGTACACTTAAGAATGATCACACTAGTGATCAAATGTTGTACCTCTTTCAAAAATATTCTTCCTTACCCTAAAAGCTGTAATAAAATAATAGTTATAATTAGTAAGTAATCTCAAAACGAAACTATCAATTAAAATTTTATTTTCTGGCTTGTCAATATCTATAGTGTGCATTTATAACATACACACTAAAATTCATATAATAGTAAGAAAGAAAAACTAAAATGAAAAATTCAGAGTGCAAACACAGCATATGACACAGAGAAGTGAAGATTTAGAATATATTTAAATTTTCCTTTATAAATTAAGAAATTAAAATTTGTATTATATAAAAACTTAGTTTTCTAACGATGTTTTGATGCTAAGCTTACTGACATATATTGACAATATAGTAGTTTAATTAAAACTTCAATATAATTCTGAAAAAAAAAGTTGTGTCATGTATGTGAACACTTTGACCCTCCCATATCTATAGGGTTAAAAGAAGATACCTTTTTAGAACAACTGGTATTCAACGAAAATGTAAAAACAGGAAAGATTACCTACAATAAGCAATTTTCAGTCTAAAGTATGATGTATTGTCACAAATGAAATAACTGTTAATTTCACTATTCTGTAAATACCTTAAAATATACATATTTAATACATAAAATTGAAATAATTTTTTAAAACATTTATGCAAATGTTTGAATGCAATTATGATATTTGTATTAACTGTACATAGATAGGTCATAAACATGTACTAATCCTTTTACATAGATAAAGGTTATATAAAGCAATAACTATGTCATGGAAGCTTGTACCAGTTTGATCATGTGTCTGTGCCAGACCATAGAGAAGGGCAAACTCATCAGAGGGTGATACATATACCTGTACAAGTTAGTATGAATGGGGGTTTATCTTCATTGTATACATTATTTGGAATATTCTTTGATGTATGGTCCCCTGGAGGGACAGTGGTAAGTCTACAGATTTACAATGCTAAAATCAGGGGTTCGATTACCCTTGGTGGACATAGCAGATAGCATGATGTGATTTTGCTATTAAAAAACACACACACACACTGATGTATGTATTTTAAGAATTTTGGGATACCACATCAGAACTGTGGTCTGACCTGAAATTGTTATATTACATCTTTTTCTGTACTGTTCTTATCCTGTGAGAACATATTTGGAAACCTTCTGTCTTCACCCCAACAGCTAATTTGAGTACTAACAAGTAAGTTTGTTTAAGGCAAAGCTACTAATGCTATATGTCACAATTTGTAATTTTGAATTGTCAACATAGGCAAAGCATCCAACTGAAATCATCCACTGGTAACACTGGGCTATCATTTTACCAAATAGTGGTTGGATTGACCATCACCTTCTGATGCCCCAATGACTTAAAGAGCAATCATGTTTGATGCATGAATTTGATTGCATGATCCACAAATTCTTAGTCAAGCACACTAACTGCAAAGTCTGCCAGGTCACTAATGAGTAAGAAACCAGTCAGTACTTAACACATAAAATTATTGTGAACAATCACATCATTTATATATGTTCATTTGTCTTGTTTTACTTTACTGTTAATTTTAATACAGTAGATAACATTTACAGAGTCTGTTTTTGCATGTACTTAATTCTTATCTGTAAAACATTGGTGGATCTGAATATACCACAGTATTATATGTATATATATATATATATACACTATCTACAAAAAGAAAAAACAATAACAATCCTTTATCCAACAGAGAAAATAAAACATACAAAAATTAGACTGATATAAAGTTTTAAAATGTAAAATAGTTTAAAAGTATGTAAGAAATACAAAATGTGTTCTTTACTTTGGTATACAGGATGAAAATTATGAAACAAAAACTACATTGGTAATTTATTAAACTGTATGCTAAAAACATACAATGGACACAATTAAAATTTCCAATTTTTATGATGTAAAATATGTTTTCAATTTTGGTAAGATATGCCTCAGTTCAGATTATCCACCTCTCTGTTGTATTAAACATAGCAATTCATTCATTAAATTTAGAATAATTTTTACCTGTTCTATGGATCTTCGTTCATATTTTCGTACCACTTTCTTTGTTAAGTGAAGTTTATGGTGCTACACAAGAAATAAAAATTGTGTATACAAAACATTTCAAGACATTGTCAAGTTAAATAAAGCTTCAAACAAACTAGAAAAGACTATAAATGCCACAAGATTTACACCACAGATATTTAAATTTACAAATTTTATGTAGTAAACATGAAATGTGTGATGTTTTTGTTGTAGTAAGAGTTTCAATGTTAGTTTTCTTATAGTAGGAGCTTTAATACTATTTTTCTTGCAGTAACAGCTTCAAGGAAATTTTTTTTTATAGGAACTTCAATACTGTTTTCCTTTTAATAAAAGCTTCAATGCTACTTATCTTGTAATAACAGCTTCAATGACATTTTTGCATGTTCAAGCTGCGATACTGATTTTCTTGTAGTGAGAGCTTGCAAATGCTTCATTGCTACTGTTCTTGTAGTAAGAGATTTAACAATCCAGGTGTTTCAGTACTGTTTTTCTTATAGTAGGAGCTTAATAATCATTATTTAATTTCTGTAGTGCATATTGGTATATAGAAGACATTTTAATATTAGAAATAAACATCCTAATAACACCAACTTGTTGTTTTTCTTTAATTGGACACACAATGCTTCGCTTTACAGCTTTTTCAGGAGTATTCCACTAAAACAAAAACTGTAACAGTTTTTTTATTGTAGAAGAAGCTTCAGTACTATGTTTCTTGTAATAATAACTTCAATACTTTTTTCAGTAAGAGCTTCTACACTGTTTTCTTTGTATTAAGAACTTTACTATGGTTTTTCTTGTAATAATAGTTTCAATACTACATTTGACCTAGTTGCTAGCAATGTATGTTTTAGTCAACTTGTGATTACAATAACAGCAAAACATAGAAACTGTTATTAAATTCTCTACAGTATAACCAAAACAAGATATTTCTATGATATCAGCTTAAATGTAATAATGCAAAAAGCAGTTTTCTAATTTCTTTATTAATTCAGATGCAATATCAGAGCCAGAAGCTACTCACTTGTAACAGTACAAATCATATTTTAAATTATTTAGCTTAATCCCATAAAAATTCGAGTAGTATGAGCAGCTCATGCATTGCAAGAGGAAAACACATCAGATCTTACTTAGGAAAAATGTTAATTAATAGGAAATAAAAATTGAATGATAAAATATTCAAGTCTTTATTATTTGATATTCTTACATTTATTTCATTAAAGGCTAATTTTATTTACCTTTCTTTATCATTGCTAATAATGAAAATCACGGAGCATAAAAGGCTTTAAACCTACTTAAAATTCAGATGATACAACTAGAAAAACATTATCATAAAGTAGGGAACTTCTTACTTCACGGTGGCCAGCTGATGTTTGAAACTTCTTTCCACAAAATTCACATTCATATTCTTTGTCATCATGTAATTCCATGTGTTTGGTAAATCCTACTCTACTTCTTAGTATCTTTCCACAGACATCACATGACCACGTTTCCTTAAGCCTTTCAGGATGCAGCATCTTAGTGTGGGATCTTAGGTCTCCTAAAGTAAAAATCAGAAACACATATCATCTGCCAATTCACAAATCAAATTGAATGTTAGGCTCTTATTACACACACACACATACATACATACATACAAACATAGCTAGAATACTTCAGCACTAATTTTCTTGTAGCAAGAGTTTCAATACATATTTTTACTTCCACTATTTCGAACTACAAATAGTACTTCACCATTAACATAGTCAAAACAATTAAAAATATCTATATTTGAAAGTAAACATCAAATGAGCAGTGACAGAGAAGTTGAAAATTAATAACCACCGATTCATTGGCTGAAGAGTTACAAATTAAGAAGTGATTCGGTAAGAATTGAAAATTGACAAATGATTCAGTATGAGATGAAAAGTAAAACAAAATATTCATTGAAAAAAATATATTTCTGTTCAGTAATATGTTTAAATAAGAATTTGTTTTGTATTTTTCATGCTATATCCCAAATGGTTTTGAGTAATGAAAGCTGGCAAAACATTGGAAATCAGCATATTTATAAAAATGAATGATATATTTAAATGCTACATTTCTGTTCAATAATATATTCACGAGTCTTCAGATTGACTTAGGCACCAAAAATGCCAGTAAACAGTATTTATGAAGTTAGGAAAACACAAAGGTTCAAGAAATCAATTCAACACAAAAATACAATACTCTATTAAACCCAAGTGTTTTAGAAAGGTGGTCCTTTCTTCTTAAGAGGTAAACAACTAAACAGTATTTAAAACTGCCATCCAAGTGACATACATGGGGAAGAAAAAAAGGTCCTTTTAATCTAAAATGTGTGACTTAAAATCGATCTAAACATGTGGATCACCTTATGCTTAAATCATACATTGCAAAAGATGAAGATACAGAACACTGATATTCAGATAAAAATGTTTGTTTTGTTTCGTATGCTTGTGTAAAACTACACAAGAGCTATCTGCACTAGCTGTCCCTATCTTTGAACTGATAAGACTCCACAGCACCCATCATATACTCACGGACTTCTTTAATCAAATAGTGGGATTTGATCACCCCTCTCATAATGCAACCATGACACAAATATTTTTATTCAGCAGTTGGACATGACCTATGGACCCTTAGATCCATAAGGCAGCACGCTAACTACTAGACCATGCCTGGCACTGACAAGAAGTAAAATGAACTGCCCCTGATCCTCTGTAAGTATCAAGAATCATCTTGAAAGTAAGAAACAGAAATATTAAATGTAAACATTAAAGAAAAAGAAAATAACAACTTATGGTTTGAGAAGAGGTGTCACTGAGTTTTAATGGTTTATATCAACTTCAGTTTTATGACTACCAAACTTTCATCAATTCTCAACTACTCTTCATCCTTCACTTTACTAAGTGTTATAAGGTGTTCACAAGTGACAGCAATGTTACACTTCATTAAAACATGTTGTGTAATGTTCGGTGAATTCTTCAATTTCCCAAAAATAAGCTCATTTATACATATTAACAGCCACAGTGGTAGAACTTACAAATAGGAGAGGTAAATTTACAAATGACAATTTTTTATTCTTAGTTATGACATCCTTAAAATAAATGCTTTATTCTTATGATAGGCTTAAATATACATCAAACTTCAACTTGTGGATAAGCTCTACCTAGAATTAACACCAACTCCTTTCTCCTATACTTTGAATATTGTGTCTTAAGTATGCTAATATTAATATTATTGGTTTTTTTTAATACATTAAACTTCAAACCTTTAGAGGTTATCAGCATTTCACAATATTACTAACAATGGAATAACAGTTAGATCCCTTACATTTCAAAAACTGCTTAATGGCAATTATTTCGTCAAACAGCATAGAATACCTGTTTACAATCCTGTAAACATGATTAATAAGCACTTTGACCAAATTCACTTATCTTCAATAGAGAATATATTTTTTCCCTCAACTAAAAATGAAGCATTTGTAGTAGGAATTTGAATACATTCAAAGTGCTAAAAAATTTTCAATATTCAAGAAAGTCGGGGTGCCCTTAGTAATAGAGAAGCAAAAACTTCTCTAGCTGGGACCTATGGGCATTCCAATTAAAAATAAAAACTGTCAATGCCATCCCGAGATTGGAGTAAAGTGTGGACATCATTAGAAATAAAATCAACAAAACAAATACATTGTAAGCTGCTTGAGATATTACTTGCATATGTTCAGAGTATTTACTAATTGAGACGCAACCACTGCTAATTTCTGCAATAAATGCATCAGAAAAAAATTCAAGTTTGGTTTTAAAGACCCTAAAGGTAAGGCATCAGTTTATGTGTTTCAATCTATGTGGATACCTTCAATTGCCACCAACACAGAAGTTGGGTGTTAAGGAACAACAGAAAAACAAGATGTGGAACACAAGGTTGAATATTGTGATGCAACCTGAGAAGAAGTGGATTGATTTAATGATGAAGGTGGGAAAGGAAACAAACTTGCTGGATTCTGTACTAATGATATTACATGTAGCCTAATCCAGTAGTTCACATGACTCTCAGCACTTTGGACACTGAGCATATCTTGTACAGTAGGAAGGGGGCAACATTTACACAATAAGAAATATCTTCTGCTCATTACAAGTATTTATGAGGTCCACGAATTAGGTTTTCTCTGCAATTAAAAGTAAGAAAAACATGTAGAAGAAATCATTCATATCCAATAATAACAATTGGTGGAAACTCATTCATTCAAAATTAACATTACTTCAAGATTCCACATCTGATCCAGTAACTCTTCAGAAAAGTATCTGAAAAGCAAGGATACATTGCCTTTGTCATGTAAACTTTTTGTGAAGTCCTTACACACTAATTTCCAGAGAAACAACAGATATGACACAACAGCATTAAGTAAGAGAACAAGGGAGATTAGCAGAGATTTTCGTCTCCATAGTTCAGTACATTCAATGAAGTGATAGCATTGTCCAACCCTTAAACATTCAAAGTAACACCAACACTAGCCAGTTTCCACTTGTTGATGGTGGAAGAAATAAGCACTGTGGCACTTAGAAGTTTGGAAAAGTGTAATTGATTATTCTTATTATGGGTGACATCTTTAGATCATAAAATCCCACCATAATGATTCATAGGTTCATTATTTATGTCTATGGTAGAAAGGGAAGCCAAAGTAATTGTTTGAGTAAGTGATGTAAAAAATTACTATGACGACTATACCATTTTTTGTTACTTTTGCAACCACTATTTCAGTTAAGTTAAAGCTTTGGCAGTCAATTTCATCCATTTTTGTTTTAATACTGTCAAAAGTAACTAATAAGTAATAAAAAGGGTCTTAGAGACAATCATTAGACATAAAAACTAGACACTGGTGCAATAAAACCACACAAAGCCTTTAACTAGAACAACAACAAAGGTAGTTAAATTGAAACAGTCATTGGGGCTACTCAAGGATGGAAAAATATTTATGCTTTATCCAGAAACTCTGCTAATAAAATCAGGGGGAGTGGAGAATTATGAGTAAGTAAAGCTTGCTTTGTAAGGCATAAAGAGTTATGTTTTGTTTACAGCACAAGTGCAAAAATCAACAAGGAAAGGCTTTCAGTAATTCAAAGGTAAGACTATCTGATTTGAAATACTATTTTTCTCACCTTAATAGCTTATCAAACCTTAATTAAAATCTAAAATGACAAAGAAAACAAAATATACAAACTTTTTCCACCAAATCTCTTTTTACAAAAGTGACATTCATACATTGGTACACTGTGTTTCTGATACATATGGGTCATCAGCTGTTCTCGTGTCCGAGGACTGTTGTTACACAACTTACAAAGATATTCTTTCTCCTTGTGCTGAGTCATGTGCGATTTCAATGTGGACGATGAGAAAAAAGATTTCTCACATACATAACATCTGGAATATCACAGGAACAATTTACTTTGGTGTATCTATCATTTAAAATAACACATAAATTAATGTAACTTGTAACATATAAAATCTATTCAAAAATTTCATTTACCGTAACAGACATAGCATTCAAAATATTAAGGAGAAATACACTGTAATAAAAAAACATTTAGAATAAAAAAATAACAATGTGATATTCATAACACACACAGAGTGAAATATAACAAGAAAAAAAGGCTGTATACAATAAACATTTAAATCATTCAAACTAAAAGCTAAATACAATAACCACTCTTAAACACTTTGCATTCAAGACTATATATACAGTATCTGTTTTTAAATTCCCTACTATCATGGTTAGAATAATAACTATGTGATATTCCTATTTTTCCTGATCTCCTCTTGAGTATTCAAGTATGAATTGCAGAATAACAAAAAGGTCACCAGATAATGTGTTTTGAAGCAAAATCTGATTTCTCTTAATTTTGACTGAGTCTGAAGCAAAGAGAAAGACTGGACAAAAGCTAAAGCATAGCAAAACAATCTTCATCTAAACAATTCAAAAATACAGTTGTGGCTGCTAAAGGACAAATGTCTCTTAGTACCATTATTGGTGTGTATTATAACTTTCTTTCAATGGTTTTAGATCTATCTATCTATATCTATATCTTTCTTTAACTTTATATTTTTTGTATTAGACTGAGCAAACAATGTAAAAGTATCCCACGGTGCAGTCACTGCCCATGTAACTGAAGGTCACCTTCACTATCAACAAGAGGCATGGAATTTTTGGGACATTACCTAACTTGCCAGTAAAAAAGAAACAGTGTTGCTGTTTATAACATGTGCCATGCTACACTAATCCTTCCTAATGTGGAGCATATGTAATGCCACTGGTAACTGACCTAATTAAAAGACAAGAGAAACTTAGTGGTTATCTTGACCAACTTTCTATCTAGCACAAATGATTCAAAGCACACAGAAAATTTGAAAAATCATATTTTAACTAAGGAGGTAGAAAACATATGGAAAGTTTATTTACCACAATTATTTGTAAAACTTCTAAGAACTATGCTAAAAACTTCTATGATAAGTTATTCATAAAAATTATACAATCAAAAACATTTATAAAATGTTAAAAGCCCAAACAACCAAACATATTCCTAAAAACTATTCTTAAACAATGAAAACTATATACAATAACTATAATTAAAAACTCAACAATCAAGACTATTTGTAATAATTATCATTACACCCTCTACAATAAAGGCTATTTAATGAAATTACTTTTAAATTCTTTACATTAACTATTCCATAACTTTTATGACTGAAACACAAAATCAAAAGCCTTAAGATACAAAATCATAAACATATGACTTGTTTGTCTGTTGCTTGTATGACACATATATGATTAACCTTAAAATAAGAACTTTAACTTGCCATCTTTAGCTTGTACATCTATAATGTAAAATTAATAACTTAAAATAGGCATGTTGACATGACAAAAACAAAGTAAAATAGCTTAATTGACGAATATTAAAAAGAGCTGTTTGAACAACAAACAGCTCTTCATGAGGTTGAATGTGAGAAACAAAGTGGTTTTTAGAAGAGATAGGGTATAAGAAAAAGAACACACAGTTCAAAGGCTTGAGAAACATATCTTAAACTAAAATAGAACAATAAACATATGAGATGTAAAAAAATTAATTAGTTACATTAGAAGAAATATAAATTATGAAAAGTGACAGTAAATTATAATTATGACATCAAATTAAATAACAAAAGAAATAAAGTAAAAAATAAGTAAAATAAGAATAAAGACAAGAAACTGGTTAGATATACAAACAATGAGAAAATAATATTGTCTGTTGAGCTACAACAATGAATGGGGTTTCAATATAGTCATCAAAAAAAGACTAACTTTCAGAAGTGACTTACTAAACAAAAATGAATGAATACATATAAAAGCAACACATTTGGTTAAGAAAATGACTTGACATAGGAAACATTTTAAATGGCATAGCTAGTTAAAACATTAAAAGAGCACTTACTGTGAACAAAAAGCAAAACTAGGAACCTAATGAGAGAGTGTAGATAAGAGGAAATAGAAGTGGGAGGAAGGTAAGTGGAAAAAGTTAAAGGAATGAAAATCATTCATTCATATCAAAGGGTTTAATTGTGCCTAATGTAGAAAATTGTATGTTTTTTCCAAGCATTATCTTTGTGTATAGTGAAGAAAGCAAATTGGAGTCCAAGTATAGAGATTTAATGTGAAAATTTATTGGAGTGAATGTACCTGTGGGTTTCATAGTGTCATTGTTCCTTATATAGAAGAGATGTTCATGCAAACAAGCTCCTTAGCAGCAATTTGTTTGACCAGTGTATAGCATGTCACATCTTTTACAAATCACACAATTTATATCAATATTTTTTGAAATGCACATGAATGACTACTGGATTTGGAATTTTCCTTTGGAGTCATATATAGATCTTGTGATATTAACATACTGACTGATATCATGGGCAAAATCCTGAATTACTTAATGAAAACTTCTTTACAGATAAAATATTTCAACAAGACATTATTGAATAGACTAGTTACTCAAAAGTAAAAAACTCACTTGAAAGGTTTTTCTCCTGTATGTTGTCTTACATGGTCCCAAAATCTAGTTTTGTTATAGAACTCTTTTGAACAGTGAGGACACTTGGCCAAGTCTTTTTTCAGCCTTTTCTTGAGTGGAGGACTTAAATAATTATTATCTTCCTTTTCCACATTATCAGCTGGAAAGAGCAAATTCTGAATCTAAGATTGGCTTAGGACTATGAGTGTTGATGTCACATTATAACTTTCTTTAATGTACTTAATAGAAGTGAGGTCAATTAGTGTTTTTTTTATAAATGTAGGTGAAAACTTTGTACTTTATAAATGAAAGAATTTTCAATTAATTCAGTGATTCTCAATCTGTAGTTTGTGAACTCCTTTCAGGTGGTCCATAGAAAAATTGCATTATTTTAAAAAGGAAGCAGAAGCATTGTGTATAGGTCTCACTGTGGTGTACCTAAATAAACAAGAGTTTGAGAACCATTAAACTAATTCTTATAACAAAGACATTTTCTTTCCCTGCATTTCCAATAGTAGCTGGAATTTAGGCACTTCTAATCTGAGTCAACATTCTGCAAATTCCTGCTGTGGTATTCATGTACATTAAACTTCTACCTGTAAATTACAAGTCATCCATGATAAATAGCAGGCATTAGGATAAGTTAAGCAGTATAAGCAGAAGATGAACAGCAAAGGAAGAAGCAGATACAAATATATAAACAAGCAGAATATTTATTCATATCAGAAATAACTATGTTAAGCTGATCAGTCTTTTCCATTAGCCAGCTTTTGTTGATCCGTGAGTATAATTTGGCTACTGATTATTGAAGTAAGAGAGAAGAATGTCTGCATTAGATAAGAGACAACAGCAAGATTAATGATCATAATGCACTGTTATGCCAGACCAAATCCAATATTCCAGAATCCAAAGTTAACTATCGCAATGATCATTCTTAAAATAAATTTGCTAGAGAGATAAACTCCAGTTCATACTCACTTGTGCAAGACCTTGTGCCACTCCTCAACTTGAGAACAACCCATATCTCAGGAGAGTGATGATACAAACAAATTTAAGCTAGTATATGACCCAGTGATTTTTGTCAAAGATCAGAGAGTAATAAAAATTAACATTTTCTATACATGAAAAAGTATTTCCAATAGACATTCATTTCCACCACTTATTGGGGAGAGCCAAAAAAAGTGTCCAGATCCCTTTCAGATGCTAGCTGGAAAAGTCTTTTACTGGAGTGGGTGCAACAGGTGACCACAAAACCCTATATTCAAAGACCAATAAGTGCAAGACAAAGAAGTGCAAAGTCACTTCCCTGGTGCCAGCTTTTCCCATGATAGTCCATGGAAAGTATGTTCTGGATCAGACAACTGGGTAATTTTTAATACTAAAAGGATACCTCTATTAGTTTTGTGGAACACCCTATCTTAACAATGGGCACTGGTAGAATTAAGGTGGATGGGTTGTGTGCTTTCCATTATCACTGGCCTGTGTGTAGAATTAAGAACAGTGACAAAAGGAAGTTGAAAGCCTGCAGGAGATAAAACAACCAGATGATGAAGATAATGGGAGATGAACTGTGGGATTTGTTCACATGCCAGCCTTCAGTACAATGATCTCATCCAAGGGTGGGTCAAAATGAGATGCTAGAGAAAGAGACAGTTGACGAATCTGATGCAATGTGAAAGAATAATCACCTAGTTGAAGTCTTAGAAAGAAAAGTCCAGTATGAGTAGACAAGTAAATATGATGAAAGAGAGTAGAGTGAGGGAAGCATGGATCGCATATGAAACCAAATGACAGCAACCACAAGTAAGAAAGAGAAGGAAATATGTCTTCAGAGAAAAACAATGGCTCAACAGAGCAATTATTGTGTTTATTATTGATCAATTAGTGAATAAAATTTAAAATAAGTATATAAGTAACTTAGGCATACATTAGTTTCAGAGTTTCTTTTGAAAAGTTTGTTTGTGAAGTTAGGTCAACCACTGAAAATAATCCATAGCAAACTTAACAGAAGAAATAAGATAATTGTTTATCATTAAGTGAAATGGAAATGGCATTATTTTTATAACATAATCTAAAAGAACTCACCAAATGATAAAAAAAACTTTACAACATGAGTCAGAAGTGGGATTATTTTGATAAAAATAAAATAAAACTTTGACTAAACTTCAACTTTCAAAATGACAACACAAGTATGAAGAAGTTCATATATTTAATAGAGATGGTGAAACAGTGGAAAGATGAGCAAACAACAGAGACATAGCATTAAGTAAAGAACAAGAATAAAGAGATACAAATTTAAGGAAGAAGAAACAGACATAATATTAAAAGACAAAAAAATTACTAAAAATCAAAAGAATGTCAAGAAGAGATAGAAAAATAAAATAAAGCTGATTGTAGGACATGATCGATAAAAATATTGGAGATATACTGAGAGATTACAGCATTAATACTGAAGAACTACAGAAAGACATCTATAAAGTGCAGAATGAGTAGAAGAACAAGATCAAGGAGTTAGTAAAGAACATCAATGATAAATCAAAACACTTAGAAAATAAACTGATAAATGTAGAGATAAAACAAGTCATATCTCTATTCTGCATTTGCCCAAGAATACTAACCTAAGACACCATTTAATATAAAACATGGAACAGGAGGACCAATATGATCTACACCTGTTACATTACTGTTGTGTCATCTGTGACTGCAGGACTATCATGGATTATTTCAGCCATTACATGTCCAAATCAAATTCCAGAATTTAACTGGTCACTTAAACAACAGTGCCCAAGCAATAAACCAACAGACAATGATGGAACATGCAATAGGAGGAACATCAGGCTCATTTTAAAAATGGTGGAATAGTAAATAAAAGATTACTCTTCTTACTGTCAATTTAAAGGGTTTGGCTTTAACAGTATTAAGCAGCCTTCCAGTTCAGAGCCATAATAACTGTCAATCATTAATAGCTGCCTTATCGAAGAAGTTCAGAGTGACACACCAAAAGGAACTATCCAGAGCAAATTTCCAGAGTAGTATTTAGAGTATGAAACACCTTAGGCAAACTTGCAGAAACTTCTTGAAAGGTTTTCTCAATGATCTTACCTAGATGCTCCATGTGAAATGATGGATTCACTGACACGTGAACAACTTATAGATGTCAAAACAGATGAGGATATGCAAACTAAGCTGATGCAAAGTAGAAGTATATCTTTCACCCTTTCACTACTGTCTCAGTGAATAACACCAACCGCATGACTCCAAAGTGACCATTAGAGTTTCTATACAATAACATGTTTTGTGTATCTTTACAAAATATCTCATGCTTTTAGTAAACATTACAACTCATTTGATCAAGTATTTTTGCTAAAACTTTGTCCATGAATATATATAGAATGTTGATATGGAATATTGACTTCTCCAACTGCAAAGTGATATTCAGTTTAAGATTAGAAATACTTTCCTTTATCTGAAAGTCAGCATATTTCATTTGCATAATCTCAAAACCCCTAAATAAATATCAAATGTTTTTTTCACTAACTCTATAAGCATTTGGTCAATTAAAAAAAAACAAAAAAACTCTTAACCACCATACAAAAAACATGAACAAAAACGAGTAGTACTGTTCTCTGTAAGACTGTTCTATCCTTTTTAGTATTTACCATGAAGTTCCAAAGTACTTCTCCTGAGAGTTTCTAGTCCTAACCTTTTCACGCATATTTCCTATGTTTGTTTTACTGTTAGCAGCTGAAGTGTAAGCCTGACAAACATAAAGCAATAAAACACTGCTTCTTCCATTAGACAGTTTTTCTTACATAACACTGTAGAACACTGTTAATAACAAGCAAGCATGTACAGTGCAATAAGCTAATGATTCCACAGAGTTTATCATAATTCTGGCTCTGAAAACACAGTGGGGAGAGGATTTATCAGCTTGTTTACAGAACAGTGGTTGCAATAACAATTGTCTAAGATAATAAAAGTGCAAGAAAATGTTTATGATAGGGCTCAGGGCTGATCCAATACACTTGGTAAGTATTTGGATGTTAATTATCCTCCCAGGATTGTCAGAATTTAGTGATATTGGTGTATAATGTCCAATATTCAAACTATTTGATATATAAAATGTGAAATATAGGGTGATTATTTGAACTTTTATAAAGATGACTACTGTTTTCAATCAGAATGCTACTTTTTTAACTTTTTATATATATAACACCAAGCCTGCATCAAGGCTCACACATTTGGAAGATGTCCATACAAGTTCTTTTGTGTTAACATTTTCCAAAAACAGGCAAGTAAAAATTGCAAACTTGTATGTCGTTTGGAGAATCTACCTTACTGCATGTACATTGTTTGTAAATGTATGCATGTTAGGGCAAACACATTTGATTATTGTTTTACCAATCATGTCACAATCATAAATCACCAACTGCTGATTATTATAGCACACAATCAGCCTGATTATGATTATGTACAGTAAAGTTGATGATGTCATTGTGCAGTATTGTTGACAGTTTAACCTTAAAAACTAATGACCACAGAGAATGTACTCTGAAGCATCATTAAATTTGAAACGGTTGAAGTTATCAATAAATGTGCCATGAAAACAAATCACGATCTCTTTTCCATTTTTTATTTGAACTAGTGTAAAATAAAAATGGGGATTGACCTTATGGCTAGTAAATGATCAATACACAATGTTATGTGACCATTGTGAGTGACAAACACATTGTTGAGCTTCATTGCCTAAATTCATCATCCACTTCAGCAATAAGTTCAAAGACTTTTCAAAACTAAACCACCTTCTAAACTAAGTATTCGAACCAAAGATCAAATAAAGAGACAGCGTTTGAAGGTTTTTGTTCATGAATAGAGGAATCTTCAATTCAGTTCTCAAAAGATTTTTCTAATAAATTGACCTTATGAAAAAAAATGCTCCTAATTGTATCTTTATTACATATGTAATGATCAACTTTCCAACCTTAAAAAAAAAATTACAACTTTAAGTGTATTATGTGTTGAATTATTTAAAATTTATCATTTCCCAGCTCGACACACATGCTTTCATCAAGTGTGTTTCAAATCTCAGCACTTACACTGTGAAGCAATTGGGTATTTTTGAGGGAATTTTACAATTGCTTCAGTCTTTTTAGCATTTTA